TCCTCCTCCTCCTCCTCTTCCTCCTCCTCTTTTTCTTCTTCCTCTGCTCCTCGACTCCTCGACGAATCCAAACCCGCGGAGACGCGAAAAGGAGGAACAGAGAGGCAGAGCTCGGACGATAGCCGGACCCACGGTGTTCGGCTGTCTCGCTACTTTCGGCTCGAGACCGCGATACCCTGCCTCCTCCTTTTCGAGAGTCCGCGCGAGAGTGTCTTTCACGGTTTTCACCCGCACGCGGTCACACGTGACCACTATTTCGGCAACGATCGCTCGCCGAATCCAATTATTCCTCTCGATCGAAAACTTTCTTTTTCCAGTTTCTCCTCTTCCGTGTCCCCTGTTCTCGATCCCGATCTCTCCAGATGCCTCCCCGCTGATTTTCTTCCCAAATCCTTCTCACAACGAACGTTCACGTTCCCGACCACTATCGTCTCCTATTTTCTTGCTCCCTCGCCTATATCCTCGCTCCTGGTTGTCGTTCGCTCACGGCAAAGCGGTTTCGTCCGAGGGAATATTCGCATTCGTTGCACCCACGCCCCGAACGATAAAGACGGCACGATGTTTTCTCTTTTTTCTCTGCCTTCCGCCTTTCTCTCCCTCTCTCTCTCTCTCTTTTTCTCTCTTTCTCTCTCGCTCTCGCTCTCTCTTTCTCTCTCCTTCTCCCTCTTTCGTCTTTTCCTATATTTCCGAAATACGAAAGCGTCGATGGTTCAGTCGTTTCTCCAACCGGACAACGAATCGAGTTATTTCGTATTCGATAACACGACGACGCGTATCGCTTCTAAACTTCTCTCGATATTGTGCTCAACACTACGACGATCGCGCCTTCTCGTCCTCTTCGTCTTTGTTCGATCACTGTTCGGATCGTTTTCCTTCGGTGCCCAACTCTGCCCCGTATTCTCTTTAATTCTCTCCCTCCTAATTCTCTATCGTATACGCCTTGCTCCGTATTCGTTTCGACGAAAAGTCCTCTGTCGCGTAAACACTCGTCCACGAATAACACAGAAGTCGAAACCGCGGCAGCAAGAGTCGGCACCGCACTGCTTGATCGTGTCGCTAGTTCGGTCGCTCGAGCCGTGAGGTTCGTGCGTTTCCGACCTCCATCGACTA